ATATTTACAACTGAAGTTTTCTCAATTTTATTTTCTTAAGCAATAATTATTTGTTAGTGGACATTAGGTACTATTTATAAATTCCCAATTCTTGGTTATATTTATATATCTTATTTAAACTTATATATTTATTTAAACTTATTTATTATTATATTATTATAATAATTATTATATTATTATTATATATCTTATTTAAACTTATATATTTATTTAAACTTATTTAAACTTATATATAAGATATTTATATATCTTATCTTTTATAAACTTGGTTATATAAATATATCTTATTTATCTTATCATATAACTAAATACATATGTTTGTCAATCCACAGTAAGAAATGCAGTTTACATCACTTCTAAAGATGCTTTGTGTGTGTGTGTGTGTGTGTGTGTATAACTAAAATTTTTCATTAAATAATTTCTACCCTTAGTACCTTGCAGGGCACTTTGGTTTTTTTATTCTGTTAGATATAAAAGTGATGGCTGTGACCCATTATGATTATCATCATCCATTAGTGCATCACAGACTACTACTTGAAAATCACTGAAAGATGTTGATTAGTATAAATGGGGAATCTTCTCCATCTTGATCACATAGTAGATATATTACTTAGTTATTTTATAAAATACTCATTTCATAGGATAGTTTGCATCTTGTTATATAAAGGTTTTTCCTTTTTTTAATTTTGTATCAACTGAATCAAGAACTCTAATGTTCAGTACATCTTTAGCAAGTCTATTTCAAGTCTTTCTGTCTCAAATAATTGCTCTATATGTTGGTCACTTCATTGGACACCTTACCTCTAAACCTTAAAATACTTCAATATAGCTTCATTTCATCTGTTATTACCCCCATTTCAAGATGGAAAACTGAGTGTTGGGAGATAGTTCATGCATTTTTCACATGCCTGCACAGTATAAGTCTTCTAAGCAAAGGCATTTACATTGCGGGTGTTTTGTATAAGGAGAAATTACTGGGTAGTGAAACTAGTAATGTGTCCATCCTTGGAGACATCCCAAAATTAAAATTAAAAGACCTCACCTCCCCCTTCCTGTAGGAGATCTGCCTTTATACTAGAGTAAGGCACTATCTTTCTTTTCTGGAGCAGAGCAGAAACCTTTAGAAGATCAGAGTTTCTTAGTTTTAGGATTACTCTGTGCTGCTCTCTGCTGCATGTGCCAGTAATATCCAGCCTTCACTGCATTGCCCCATGAGGATTGGAACTCAGGGAAATAGCGCTAAGTTATTGCTCTGGCTGCTGTTTTTGCCATGAGCAATAAATTTTCTTTGTCTCTGATCCAGAGGTCTCATGTCCTCATGTCACTGTGTGTGTGTGTGTGTGTGTGTGTGTGTGTGTGTGTGTGTGTGTGTGTAGAGAAAAAAGGGGAAAAGAGATAGGCAGATACTAATTTAATTATGTAGGACTATCAAATCCTTGATGGTTTCTGAATTAATACTTGTTTATAGGAAGTGCAGGGCTGTGCTTTTAGTAAATTCAAAACTGCAATTTGTTAAGCCTTACATAGGTGGCTAACAAAACTAGACAATACAGTGCCAATGACTAGAATTTAGCATAAGCAGATAATATAAATATTTTCTGTCACATTTGAGTGTTTATGGTCTATGACTCTGAATATTTTTCTCCCCACCCTTATATGTTAAACTAAAAAAAAGTGCTAGACTGGGATTGGAGTATCTAGGATGAAATCCTATTTATATGGATAAAATTTTGTAGCCATATGTATATATTTCATAATACATTGAAAAATAAAAGTGTAATAACCTTTAATAATAAAATAAATTACTTATTAAAAAATCTACTTAATGCACAGAATAAAAATAATTCTAGAATTTTTGAAGTGAACGTATTTCTCAGTAACTAGAATTATAATGTAAACTATAAAACTGGACTTAATTTGCCATTTATTTATAATAGTTTAAAAACGGAATCTATCTCATAATTGTGACAGATGCAAAATTGGAGTATACATCTATATTACCTGTTATGGAATTCACTCATATCCATAAATGCTGATTTCAAATGACAGGGTTTATGTAATACTTTGGGTATTATTAATCCTATGTTTTAAGGCATAACTCATAATGCAAGTTGACCTTATGGAACATTTAAGGGAAATTACTTCATTTAGCATTATATAGGTTTCTATGTGATATATAGGACAATTGATTTAATATTAACATCTGTGTCTATTACAAGCCTATTGTCCACTTCAAATTTTTATATATATATAGAATATAAAATAGTTTGCGCAAACGCATATGGATTAGTTTATTAATATAATTTTATATTAAAAACCCTTTATACCCACTTAAATGTATATATAATTTGCATTACATGTATTTCATAGTAGGGATAAGAAATAGACTAAACCTTCCATTCTCAGAGGTAAAAATTCTTTATCCTGTGTTTGGCTACATGAGGAAGATGAAGGTATTTTTGTTTTCCATAAGTTATCAAGAAACACTTATTATAGATATATCAGCAGATGGTTACTACATCTCTACAGATCCATTCATAAATATAACCACATTTCCTGAAGTATAGTTAGAACTGTCTGACATGGATAATTATGAGAAAATAATTAGCAACATACAAAATTTGTAAATATTAACTAGTTACTTAGGATATTCTGAATCGTAGTTATTCCAAATTGCATATCATGCCAGAAGAAATCAAGATGATAACAGAATAAGCAGTGGGTAGAAACTTGCATAAAATCATATTGTTTGTACAGAGGCATTATGACCCAGTTTGTTTCCTTTATTCACTTTTCTTATTTTCTTCAGAATTTACTTAAATAATTTATTCCGATCTTCAAATTCCTGCCCAGTCTCCTGTCCCTTTTATCAGAAGACAGTTTCTCAACTTTTCTTACTAAGCAATCATTTTAGCCATTAAGAAGTATTCTCAATGTCTGAACTCTCTGTATTTAAATGTAAAAAGTTATTTTTTAGTCTTCATACTAAATATCCAGTACCTTTTGAAATTTTTAATATAGAACATTTCCACTTAGCAATTCTTCATATGATAATGTATAATTATAGAAAGTATAATTTCCTTTGTTGATTAACTGTTACTGGTTAATGCTGAAGTAATTGCTGATATTTGTTTTCTCTGTTCTCTTTTTTTAAAAAATACCACTTGCTTTCTTGTTAGTACTTTGCAAACATTTACCAAGTTAATGTGTCAGTTGTAAAACAGATATAAAATTGTTTTTGGAAAAAAAAATTTAAATGGAAGTGTTTTTGGCAGTAAAACTTTTTCTTTGAGAGTGAAGGGATACTGGATTACAATCAACATTTTTAGATATTTCATATGTAGAGAACCAAATAAAATTATAAAGTTGATATAAATATCAATGTGCTATGCAACTTCACACTTTATATGTTCATGTCCCCAAATTGGAGTGTTTTAAGAAGCATGAAGAGTTCTCCAAATTAGTTTATGTATTGCTTGTCTGGTTATGTTCTGTAGATTTTTTAAAATAGTAATTCTGCAAGAAAGGCAAGGAAAATTTGCTTTGGAAAGAGTGAAAACTGCAAATGCATTTTATGTTCTATGACACTGTATATTGTATCTAGCTGGTAAACTATAATCATTGTTGTACTATGCATTCAGAAAATGTAAGCTGATAGGCATAATGATAGCTATTTTGTAAATATGAATATTTAAGCATTAGTTGAAATCTAAAATAGTTACCAATGGATGTTTTAAAAATTTGCCTATAATCTTTAAAACTGGCATTTTTATTTATTTTTTTTAATTTTTTTTAAAATTTTTATTTATTTTATGATAGTCACACAGAGAGAGAGAGAGAGAGAGAGAGAGGCAGAGACACAGGCAGAGGGAGAAGCAGGCTCCATGCACCGGGAGCCCGACGTGGGATTCGATCCCGGGTCTCCAGGATCGCGCCCTGGGCCAAAGGCAGGCGCCAAACCGCTGCGCCACCCAGGGATCCCAAAACTGGCATTTTTAAACTGTGGTTCATGGATTATCAGTTGGAATGGAAGTCTGTTTATGGACCTATAGGAGGCCCATAAATCCATTAAAGGATTACATTTAAACATGTGGGGTTTTTGGAGAATACTTAACTTTTATCATAGTCTAAAAAACAAAACAAAAAAAAAAAAAACAAAAAAAAACAACCAAGACCCACTGATGTAAAATCACCGATGAAGGCCATAGGGGATCCCACTATATATACAGTTGATCCTCATTATTTGTAGATACTATGTTTGCAAGTTTACCTACTCAGTAAAAATTTACTTGCAAATACCAAATCCGTACTCAGGGCACCTTTGCAGTCATTCACAGTTATAAACAGAACAGGAAAAAAAAAAAGATGATGTGCACATTACCATCTGAAGTAACACTTTACCTTCTTGTTTCATGATACTCATAAACAATTATCCTTTACATGGTATATTTAGTGCCATTTTCCCATTTTTGTGCTTTTGTGATTTTGTTGTTTAAAAAGGCCATCAAGCATAGTACTAAAACGAAGTCTAGTGTTCCTAGGTGCCAGAAGGCTGTAATGTGCTCTAGAGAAAATTTTGTTAGATGTGCTTTGTTCTGGCATGAGTTATAGTGCTTTTGATTGTGAATTCAGTGTTAACAAATCAAATATTATGATGTGTGTATGTATGCTTATATATAGCTATATATACAGCTTTTTATATCTGTATATATAAATAAAATAATGTCTCTCTAAACAAAACACAAAAAACAAAATTATGTACTGATATTAATTGGTTGAAAAATAATGTAACCAAGGCATTGCAGGAACCTAACCCTGTAGTTCCCATAGGTACAATGTTTCCATATTCATAAATTAGAGCTAAGGAAGCTAATCTCATTGATCTTTTGAAGTCTTTTTCTCCCCCCCCCCCCCCCCCGTTTCGCCAATCCCACATCAAACCACAATTTCTTGTTCACACCATGTATTCCATTTGGAACATTAATTATGTCTAAATAATTAAGTGTTCAGCAATGAATATTCTCTTCATCAGGTCATTTCTGAAAGATGATTGCTATCATTTCACTGAAGTGTTTCTTTTTAAACTTAATACTTCATAATGTACTTTTTTATGAACATTTACTGATGTTAGATCAGGCTATGTATGCATCATTCATCTCTTAATATCTTACATCACATGCTTTTAACATAACCATGATAACTGCTGTTGATTTAAGTGGACTTCATGTTTATACTTTGTAGCTCTGCTAGAATTCATTGATCTGCTTCAGATTTCTGCCTGAAATGTTTTTACTGCTCATTATACCATATATTGGAATATAATACCATATATTGCTCTAGGATATTTGTAACCATTTACACTGAGTTTAGTCATTTTATCTGAGGGCTTGCTAATTTGTTAATAGATGAAGAGTTAGAAACATCCTTATCTAACAGTTATGAGCTATATATTTACATACTTGACCATATTCAGTGAATCAAAGTGTATTTTTCATTTTTTAAAACTAAAGGAATTTGAGGCTCCCTCTTTCTGACAAATGGAGTAACAAATAGTAGATTAATTGTCTCACCTGAAATATTAAGACAAGTTCTATGGTCATGTCTATAGATGCAGAAAAAGCATTTGACAAAATCTAACATTGATTCCTTATAAAATCACTTTACAGACTGGGAATATTGGGGAGACCTCAGCCTGGCAGATAGCATTATTAAGAACCAATGGTAACATTGTATTTGTTGCTGAAAGGCTAAATACTTTCCCATTAAGATTAGGAACAAGACCAGAATGTCTGCTTTCACCACTATTTAACATTGTAGTGGAGGCTCTAGCCAGAGTTGTTAGACAATAAAAAGGAAAACATCTAGATTAGAAAAGCAGAAGTAAATCTGTCATTATTCACCAGTGATATGATCTTCTATGTATATTATCCTAAGGAATCTACAAAAAAAACCTAGAGCTAATAATTGAGTTTAGCACATTAACAGGATTCAAGATCAGTATTTTCAATCGAGTGTATTTTTCTTTAGCAATAAAAAATTTGAAATTTAACAAAAAGCAGTGTTTACCATAACATCAATAATATAGGGGACAAATCTGACAAAAATATGAAACTTGTTTACTTAAAACTATGAAACGTCACTGAAGAAAATTAAGTGGACAGATTGCTGAGATAAGTCACCAGTAGAATGATCCATAAAAGAAAAAAAAAACTAATTGTATTTTGGGTTATAGGTAGGTCAAAACTTACATAATTTTATATCTTAAATTTGTGCAAATAATTTGGCATTATTTAAACCTCTATAAAGCTATTAAAACATATCAACAAACAGAAAAACTAAGGAAATTTGTGACCACGTAACACAAAATGATTTGTCTTTAGACTTTAGTCAACTCAATTTTTAATCGCAAGATAACCTCTAAAAATGACAACATCACGGAACAAAAGTTAATGAGTGTGGTATATAGATTGTTAGATGCCAGTTAGCATTATTTCTTTGAAAACCAGATCTAGCTTAAGGATTCATAAGCTTGACCAACTTTTTTACTTGTTAAAATACATTTGCCTACAATGTCTGGAATAGCATTTGAAAATCTGGGCAACATCTTTTGAACCTTTTTTCTACAATTGCTCCAATAGATTATGATTAGAAATGAGTTTCCGTGTTTAGGGTAGAAAATATTTAAGAATTATTTATTATTAAGAATTTTTTATTAATATTTTTAAAGATCATATGGAGTAATGTTAACATATTTTAAAATATTCTTGAAATTTTTATTGTGGAGATACGGTAAACTATTAGTTTCAGGGTAGCTTTTTAGTCATGTTTCCTTTTTAAGTACATTATTGTTTTCTTCAAACAATACATTATTATGAAAAATTCACAATGAAATGTGTGTAGAAGTTGCAAATTTGGGGTTTGGTAAAAATGTAAAATCAATCACATTTATATATTAGAAAAATCTTAAACTTTGCTGCCCCACTCATGCCAAAAGATAAAGTCAATTCCCCTCAACTTTCTGAAATGGTTTAGATTTCTAACATATGTAGTTTGAAAGGATATGTATTTGTTTTTACTTATATTCTGGAAAAACTGGGAGGTTTAGCCATAATGCTGACACATCAATGTATGAAATAATTGATAATCAATGTATGAAAGAGATTGTTTTTTTGCAAGAGAGAGTTCATACATTAAATTAATTGCATTCTTTAATTATGTACATGTCTTGGCTATCAAGGAATTTCCATTGTGTACCTATTATTTCTTAGAAATGAGTTATGAATTATCCTGTAATTGAAATATTCTATTTTTTGTGGACCTTACAAAATAATAGTTTCTATGAATAATGAACTTTTTTGTGTGTCTCTTAATAACTTGTAATTTTTAATACCAGTTGACTCCTTGGGGGTGAGGTCCACATAGTGTTACAGCTGTTAAAAGTGAACTAAATGAAGACTTACAGTTCTTAAAGTAATAGTTGCATGTGTTTTTTACTATATATTTTGTTACTTAGTGCCTGTATGATCATTTGTTATTGTTATTTAAATCCCAACTCTGTCTAATAAATGGGGCATTTATGATAATCAGTACTTTTTATTTTAATAAAAATTCCATTCATATTTTCACATCAGTTATAGTCTCAGTTATTGTTTCTACTTGCTCTCCTCAGAACAATGACTTTATATTAAATCTCAGCATGATTTTTACATGTACTTCAGATCCTTCCATGCTGAGTTAGTAGGCATTTATTGAATGCTTAATATTTCTTTATAGCATTGATTTGGAATACGTTTCTTGAATTTTAAAATATTTCAAGTCACTTATCTTACTCTTTGAAAACATAAAACTTTTATGAGTAACTCATTTACGTTACTTCCATTTCAAGTTAATAATACTAGGCGTTATTTGGAAAACTAAGAAAAAATTGTGAAATGACAATTCTGCTCCAATATTCTCAGGATAATTTAACATTTCTTCTTTAACACTTTTTTTGTATGTGTTATTTATTTGGGTCCAACAGAAGTTGGATAAAATGCCCTTTTTAATAACTTTTATATCTTAATAGTCTAAAGATGTTTAAGTGAATTGAATTGTGGCTAGTATAGGTATCTATTAAGGATTCCCAAATTGGAAGGTAAGGAATAATCTAACAGGTGGTGGCCTGACTTCATTGTTGTAACTTAGTAATCATCCTAATTTCAGAGTTTGTTGAATGTGATTCTTTTTTAGCCCCATGCTCTCATGTCTACATGCTCTACATTATCATCCCTTATGGTTTTGTGTATGAAATCTAAAGTTCTAGCATTCTGCTGTTTGGCTAAAGCTTCTCATCCTTTGTAATCTTTCCCTGACTTTTCTCGTATTATTTCAGTTCTTTGATTATATAGAATTCTCCTACCCCTTGTACCTCTTAAGTTTCAGCGCCTTCCAATCTGCCTTTCTACTGCACTTAGATAATGCATCTGACCTCACTTAAATTTTTCCTCTCAATTTTTGTGTCCTATAATTTCACAATGGCTGTCCACCAATTCTAATTCAGTCTAACTTTCTATCTACCACTTTTTTATACCTTAGGATATTAAGACTATTAGGTGAAAATCATAATACATTATACAGGTGAGTCTTTTACAAATTCTTGGTTTTCAGACCCTCACTTTGCTCATCCTAAGTAACATTTTTGAAAATTGTAGATTTTCTCTAGAAATTCTTTTGAAAATTAATGTCTTATATAATTTTAAATAAATACGTTATTATTCATCCACTTGAACGAGACTCATTTCCAAAATAGGAATGCATTCTAGAAAGTTGAGGAATATAATTGATAGGTGAAAACACTACTGTATGTTCTACTCTGCTTGCAAATAGAAATGTGATTCTTTTATTTATCACCCAAAATAAGTAGAACAAATCTTGTCAAATTTTGCATTGAAAACACTGCTTTATAATTCAGATTTTTACAATTATATACAGGATAAGCACTTCAAAATATAAAAGCAGTTCCATGATTTTGATAATTATCATTGTATAACATGCTAATATTAGGGTAAACTGTGTAAAAGGTATGTGGAAATTATCTTATTTCTGCAACTTTTCTCTAAGTATAAATATCACATCACAATGTAGTTATATTAGCATACTGGTTACATAAAATTTATGTATTAAAAACTGATATAAAAACTAAATTTCCAGGGCTAGGAATTTGGGTGGCTAGGTGGTTGAGTGTCTGCCTTTGGCTCAGATCATGATCCTGGGGTCCTGGGATCAAGTCCACATCCTGCAAGGAGCCTGCTTTTCCCTCTGCCTATGTCTCTGCCTCTCTCTCTGTCTCTCATGAATAAATAAATAAAATCTTTTTTTAAAAAAAAACAAACCTAAATTTCCTAAAGCATATGTTCTTTAATTATCCAAAATTAAATTATAAACCTATTCAATGAGTCCATCTATATGCAAGACATTTTCTAGGCATTATAAAGGAATGACACATGTCTGCATCTACAGTACTTTGTTTCTTACCCAATTGTCATTTTTCTTTGTATTTATTCAAATTTTTATTTCCTGCATTATCTTCCCCTACCCTCACCAAGCAACTTCATATCCTGCTCTGTAAATATAATAGAAATCACCAGGTTTCCACTTCATCTTCTCTTCAAATTTGTTTATATAATTTTATCTTTTTAACTCCATTATGACGTCTTTTTCATTCTCTAGAACCTCAAACTGTTATCCTTTTCCCCCTTTCCCTTCTCTATGAGATGTATAGACAGAATATTATAAAAAATTTTTCAAGATTTATTTATTTATTTTAGAAAGAATGGATGAGGCAGAAGGATAGTGAGAGAATCCTAAGAAAACTCCCTGCTTAATAGAGAGCAGACACTGGGCCTTATCTCGGGACCCTGAGTTCATGACCTGAACTGAAATCAAGATTTGAACCCTTAACTGGCTACCCAGGCACCTCTGTATTTTAAATTTAGTACGAGGTTACCACTCATTGTTTATTCAATACCTGCAGTCTAGGGTCTCAATTTTACCTCCCTTTGAAACATGGTATTTTTTTTTTTTTACAA